CCCCAAAACCCCAAAACCCCAAAACCCCAAAACCCCAAAACCCCTAGAGGCAATTTCTTAATTGATTTTATAGAATAATAACTGCATCCACAAATGGCGGAGAACAAGAAGATCCTTGATATTAATGAAGATCTCTACGAACTTCTTGGAGTTGATCCAGACGCTGAAACGATTGATATTAAGAAGAAATATAGGGATCTGGCAAGGCAAATGCACCCTGATAAGAATAGGAATGCCCAGAACAGTGCTGACTTGTTTATCAAGATCAATCATGCTCATTTATATCTCATTAATCCGACTACTAGGCTTATTTATAATGCTTTTGGACTCTCAGGTTTGGAGGTATATGAACAATCTATCGAGGATTTTGAGAAAGTCGAGAAAAAGCATCAGGAGCAAGAAGGAGAAGGTGATGAAGAGAACAAGCAAGAAACTGAGCAGAAAATTCTCACAAAAACAATCCACCTCATCTCGGAAACTACTAGAAGGCATCTTATTCAGGAGTATGATATAAGCTCCTCTCTTGAAGTTGGAATTGACTGAAAAGATTTCTGTGATCTTTATGGTGCTTATGTTAAGTATCGCAAAGATGGGCGTCTAAAGACATCAAAAGATCTCTTTTCTTTAATAAGATATCGGCAAAGCGTCATTGAAACCTCCTTCAAAGTTCCTTATTGAGATTGGATGAGTGGAGAAGTCACTATGAAAAGCCATTCTGATATGAGGCAAGCTCTTGCAATTGGGTCTTTTGATTACCAGAATAATGTGTCATTACCTTATGGATTTGATCTAATAAATACGGCTGAGTTTAGCCCAAATTCTAATAGCCTAAACACTCAAATTAGAAAGAGCATTATCCACGATTTAATCAACGTAGGACTCTCTTGTAGATATGATGAGAAAGGATTCAATCCTGTTGAAATAGAAGCATCTACTGGCTTTAGTACAAAATTTAGAGACACCACTTTTGGAATTGACACCTCTATAGGTAAGCTAATTTTATAATTTTAGGCTTTAATTCTATTAGCATGGCTCCTAAAATCCAATTTAAACTTCTTGAGGACGCGGTGCTCTCATGAAGCATGAAAGTAAACTCTAGTGATCAAGACTTAGTCTTGGGAGGTCAATTAGGAATACTTTATAAGCTTTCAAGTACTCTACAATTAGGTGTTTTTGGAGATATTTCCAGTAAAAACTCCAAACTTACCTCAATCATCAGTGTGCATGTTGGCTTACTAGGATTCAATTTCAAAGTGCCTTTCTTCTGTGGAACTCAAACAGAAGGACCTAGTGGGACTTTTTGGGACTCTGGTCTTGCAGTGACTCTTGGCATCTTTGGAATTGCCAATGCCTTCACTTTTGGTGCATACAAGACTTACAGAAAATTTAAAAGAATTAAGAAATATTCAAAATTAGATGTGGATTTCACCAAGTTCCAAGAAAAAATGAAAAGGTTTAAGGACGAAGAGACCAAATTAGAAGAAAATATGAGGAGAAATAGAAATTTAGAGAATAGTAAGCTCATTTTTGGCGAAATTTCTAGCGGATCTAATCATTATTGATGCTATTATGGGGCATAAAGCTCATATTAGACAGATTGTGAAAGGTCAAAAGAGGTTTGAAGAGCCCTTAGCTACAGCTGAGCAATATAATCACTGCCAAGTATACAGGATTAAATCAAAGTTGCAGTCAATGGTCCAAAATAATAGTCTTACGATTAGTGAGAATATAATTTTTGAAGAACCTGAAATCTTTAACCCAAGGAGATATCATGGAGATATTTCTGTCTATGTGACATTCAGATTCCGGTAAGGTTTCTCTAACCCCATAGTGGATTTGTATGCAGCTTTATTCACAACTTCTCCAGTAAGCAGGATATGAGAATTGCAAATGTGCAAACACATCCATTTACGAGAGAGTTTACAGATGGTGAAGTTCATATTCCAAATGATATCCTCAGAGGCTAAAATTCAACAAATCTTGGCTAGTGAGGGGTTTTGGGGTTTTGGGGTTTTGGGGTTTTGGGG